TGACCAATGTCGTTGGTATTTTGGAGAGAATCTCCACCATAATATGTTGGTACAGCCTTTCACCGTAAGACATTTACAGTGTATTGCGTCCGTGTAAAGCACCATCAGCAAAAACTTGTGCATCCAATATTTCTCTGATCATAAACGTGGCGGCTCAACATTGCAGAGGACAATGCTTGCTTATTCTCGTTCTTCATGTTTGGACCAGGGCGAAGGGACCCACTGGAGGCGCTGCCGTTAGAGCTCGTGCTGCAAATTTGTTCTCTGCTCCCCGCGAGGGACCTCGTCCGACTCCATGACGTGAGTCGCGGCTGGCGGCGTCTGGTCGAAACTGCCTCTTTGTGGCAGGACTTGGAGCTGTCCGTGGCCGACCCCCACACAACCACGTCCACCAGCTTGTTGGTCCTGCGGAGAGCACCCTGTCTGAAGAGCGTCACATTGACGTGGCGGCTTCCGAAAAAGATTAAAGAGGCTCTCCTGGCTAACTGTCTCAAGGTAATTCAAGTATTAAGACTTCACGATTGTATCCGTGAATAGCAGGATTGTTGCCTACACTGAGAGTGAAACAGTCTCAACCGAACTCAAATTTTGGGTGAGTTGTACTTTACACTCTTAAAAACGAAGCAGTTGCTTCGAAAATGAAGGCATTGTAGAATTTCTTCGTATGAATAGGTCTAAAATATCTTGTAATGTATCATTCAATATTACAATAACTCTCAACTCTTCCCAATTTTCTTGAAATTTTACGACGTCACTTTATGGCCTGTTGAAGCAGTTTAGACCTCCATGTATGTCAAAGATTTGCAGTTTGCGATCCTAAGAAGCGCTTAAAACCGTACGAAGTATTTTGAGCAAATGAGCAACCGTTTAAGGGGGTAGTACACTTCGCAAGGTCAAAAAATCGCATTTATGGGACGTCTATTTGCGGACAAGGGAAGTGAGACACGTCAAAATTGATGATAGGTCTCTATTATAGTACTATTGAAGATCACAATTGTCAATTTTGAAGGTCCTCCGAGGTAGCTGCAGCGACTTTGGCCAATTTTCCCAAATGACTGCAACAAATACATAGTTCGTTGGTTTGCGTGATTGGGATCGAACGGTGCGACCTGGGGGTCCAAACTCGGTATGGACTATCAGTACACATGTAATTCTGGCGTACAGTACCAACTCGATCGCTGTCGCCTCGATCGCTGTCGTGTGCGAGAGAGACAGACATAGGATTCGGCGCTAGCCCGCTTCGCTTGCCGGCCCGAGCTGGCGGCAGCGCCGACGCACGCTTGCTCGGGCCAGCCAGCGGCCGGGCCGAGCCTAGCCATACACCCTCCCCGCCCCCCTTGCCCCGGCGTTCACTAGCCGGTAGGTGACAGCTCGTCTGCTCGGCGTCCGTCTGCCGCTAGGCTGCCCCAGCCAGCCGGAGCGCTGTGGCGCTCGCCCGCGGCCGGGGCTAGTAGAAGCGAACGAACTGCTCTCACTATCGCTGTCGCGCGACAGCGATCGAGTTGGTACTGTAAACTACGGAGAAAAAGTTTGGAAAAAATTTAGTGCCTCAAACTACACTGTAAAAAAAAAGTACGAAAAAAGCCCCTTTTTTCGCCCACGTTTGGCCCCGAAAAAGGTAGTAGTTTTTGTTTAATCGTATTTTCCGTAGTTCACGCCAAAATGACGTGTTTTTGCCGTGTCCCTGCAAAATTTCATCAAAATCGGTTGAAAATTGCGCCTGGAATCGCGCAAACCAGTTTGAAAAATGGTGTTTCGAGATAATCGCGTTTAAAGTTTTAAGTGGGGGAAAGTTCCCCCACTCCGCCACTTCCCGGGCGCGCTTAAGGGGGGACCCTGGTGAAACTTTCAAGTAGGCTTCAAAATAATCCCAGAAAGTTGAAACTTTGCTTAATTATGAGGTTCATTATGGTGAGTTCCCAAAACAAAATTCAACCCAAAATGTTGAACGGTCTCTGAGAAAAGTGGCTTTTTAGTGTTTTTTGGAGCGTTGGGGAAAAATCTTCCTGCGTCTTTCATTGGGACGGAAAGTCTTGAAAAATTTTTTGGGTTATCCTAAAGATGTATAGAAGAGATTTTAGTGACGGAATTTTCAAATTCAACTTCTGTCCTGAGATATGAGTTTTCAAATTTCAACATTAATAAAAAAGTGATTTTTTTCCCTTTTTTCAAACTTTTAGGTTTTAAAAAAAGTAGGGCTGATATCAAGATTCCGTCACTAAAATTTGTCGACAAGTCATCAATGAATAGAGTCCATGCAAGACCACTCATGTAGGTGTCAACCAGGAACGCAGGAAGTCTTTCTATGACAAATTTTTTTGTCGACTGAGCAAAGCTGTGAAGTTGAGCGTAGAAGCCAACGACAACTGATCTCAATGTTATTTCCTTCCAAATGATAAAGAAACTACCCACTTAGCTTAAAGGTGTTCAACCTGTTGAATTTGAAACCTTCTATGCACATTTTTATCTATGAACTGTGAAAATACTATTTTTTGGAATTTTGGCGATTTTTTCACCAGGGTCCCCCCTTAAAAATGGTATTTTGGCCGCGCCCCGACCCAGCTCCGGTCGGAACTTATAAAGTAAGGTACTAGGGACCCGAAAATGCAAAAAAAAAACAAACGATTTTTTGGAAGTCGCGAAGTGTACTACCCCCTTAATAATCGAAATATTAGTTCGTAAATAACAAAAGTACTTATCTTGTAACTCATATTTACTCGAAATAATTTGTAATGATAACCTACTTTCCCTTGACAGGTCTGAAACAACTAGTCAGGTTTAAAGAGTGGAGCCGTGTCCATCTACATCACTAAGGAGTTTTCTGTTACAGTTCCAGACAGTCAAGACGCTGGTCTGCGATGACGCTTCCTGGACTCTGAAGTTCCTCCGACGAGTGGCGCCCGTCCTGCAGGACCTGGAGATCGTCGCCCCGGACAAGAAGCACCTCGCCGCCGTGGCCTCCATGCCGCTGCTGCGGCGACTGTGGGTGACGTTCGAGCCGCGCGACGAACCCTTCGTGGGCCTGCCCGCGACTCCGCATCCCAGCGACCTGCAGTGGCTGCGCGTCTCCTGCGGCAAGGGCCTCACACTGTTGCGCATGCTCCACACTTTCGGGCCTCCGGTGCAGGAACTCCAACTCGGCGTCATCTGCCGAGAGTACCCGACCGACGTGGACTACCACTTGACCTATCTCCTGCCGGGCCTGCTGGCGTCGTACGGACTGGGCGCCCTGCAGCGATTCGAGCTGGGCCACGACGTGTACCCCGAAAACCACGACCCAGCGGACTGCCGCCTCCAGGTGGCCGCCATCCTGAAGGCATTTCCGAAAGTGGCAGTGCAGTGCCAGCTCTGCCGAGGCAGGCGGACATCGAGTGAAAGTGAAAGTGATTGCAGCAGCACCAATAGCTCTTCTTAGCCCTTGTGATGAGCATTGAATTCTCATGATTGGCAATCTCAGCTTGTTGCGTACCTTTTGTCATTGCAGACGACTTCGCATTTTCCCCTAAGCATTACCTGGTTATTGCTCAATTCTCATATTAACACGTATTTATTAAAGAAGGAAACTCTCGGTATTGTGTCCCCTCACACATCTTCGTCTTCTTATTAGGAAAACGTCAGTGGAAGTTCCGAAGATCCAAACTATCGTAGCGGGGCGGGGTGGGATCGTGTTGAATGTAAATGTGACTGTTAAACGGTCTTCAAATTTGTTACTCATGTTACTACAATTTTTTTTAAATAAAAATGTTCTCTGTTGGTTTTTTTGCTGTGGCAGGCGATTACGAAACATGTGTCGTTACGTTATTTCTTCTCTCTCACACAAAGCCCGGTAAAAATGTGCTGAAACTGACACCACACTAAAATAGAACGCACCTTTTGGCGCACAAGCTTTGCTCAAACTTGAGCATGCGTTTCGATATGCACGAAAGTGTGCGCAACAACGTACGTGCTGTGTCACGCACAAATTCCTGGCAGTTCAAAACGCAAGCTCAAGTTTGTACGAAGCCTGTCCACAAAAGAGTTCATGTTCATAGTACTTAAGTGTGACAGATCTATATATTAGGAAGCACCTTAGATGTGAGCTCTCCTTCGTGCGTGTCCGTTAAAGCTCGACTGCCTGCATTCTTGAAAGCTTACAAAACAAGTACTTCGCAGTACGCAGGGATTCTCTGTTCTTGTACTACGATCAACCTTCATAATCTTTTTATTGGATTGCAAACAAATACTCCGTAAGTAAGAATAAAACAAGTTCGTAACGCAAATTAGAAAGTTATGATTCGCAACTCAAAGAAAATTAGTTCGTAATACGATGCGCGGGGGGTGGGGGGGGGTAGAATGTATTACCAGAAGCGGCTGCCCGATTGTGCGTGAGTATTCGTGCTAACCTTCACACTAAATTACTGTGTAGGTTTTTCTGCGCGCCAATGCACGAAATTAAGCATGCCACTTCGTAACGTACAAATTTGTGCACGACAATGCACGATTTTCTGCATAATAACGCACGGAATCGCGCATTGTCGCGCACAAATTCGTGCATGTTTAATTTCGTGCATTGGCGCGCAGAAAAGAACTACATATCTATTTAGTGTGTTGAATGGAACTTCAAAGTTAGGTTGAACGAGTTCAACAAGAGGGCAAACGGGGCATTCCCGAATATTCCAAACCGTGTTCGGTACGGAGCTTCGAACCCTTAATTGGCTTGAGACGTTTTCGTATGTCAGCCTTACGACGATCCGCTCAACCCAGACGTCTGTCTTCGTTCTGGTCTGTGGCTGCACCAGAGAACGCTACCCTTTAAATTTTCTCTTGGGGTGATTGCACTTGCCGAATTACGTTCCCCAGCGATAGTTCTACGAAGGCTGTTCTGTCTCGGTTAGTTAGGTCAATCGGGGTCAAGCGTTGGAGTACCAGTTGAAGAGGGGGATAAGTGTAGGATATTATCCTTTGGTGTTCGTTCTGCAGTCTTCGCATTGAGGTTTTTGCTTACTTGGTCATACCCTGCACCTGGCGATCACATAGGTTTTGGCATCTGTTGCATAGTATAGCGTATCCGTCCACCTTTTCACATGGCTGTCTCCAATTACCATCAGGTTGGGTTTTCATTTACATTCATCTTCTCTTTATTTCTTGTTGTTGACTCGATTCCCATTCTATACTTCTTCTCTTCTTCCTCCAGGTTTATTACATTTACATTTGTTTCTGTTTCCAGAAAGAGCTGCTTAAGGTATCTCATAGTCCTAGGCCAATTTAGCATGCGTCGAGTCCTGAGCCAATCTTTGGAATGTGGATGCTCTTGAGGTTCTCTCTAATTACGTAGTTTTTCAAATTTACTAACGTCTTTCTGAAATTTTTCCATTCTGGTTTGACATGCGAAGCACTTTTAGTTAGCAAGTGCAGAATCATACCATTTTCATGGTTTTGCACCACTTCACTTCCAATTTCGTGTTCATCTTTATATTCTTCAGTGTTAGTTTTGAATTTTTCTTTTATTGCTCTTGCTATACCATCTTCCATTCTGAAATCTTGGGCGACACAGTGTGCTACCACTGCGCTTTCTGCTGTCTTTAGAAGATTGCCTTCTGTCATAATTATTGTATTGTAGCTAAAATTTTGGTGCATTTCATGTGTCATTAATTCCTTATTTGCCGGTTCTACTTTCATAGTTTTCATTGCATTGTTGTTATTGTCTCTCTGTTGGGTTAAGGCTTCTTGGCTATTATTTTTGAATATTATATTTTCAAGTCTCACTACCCTTTCTTTGAGTTCTTCATTGTTGTAGATTAGTGCACCTGGGTACTTACATTCACTGTTCCATTCTCTGATGTTGTGGAGAAAAATCTATCATTCATCAAGTCATTCATTGATTCATCATCTAGGTTATGTTCCTCTGTTGTCACATTGAGGAGCTGGCATGTTCTCTTGTTCAAGTTGATTCTCAGCTTTGGATCTTGCTTTCTTCCGTTTTAACCAATTAGGTCCTCCAGTTCATTAATTTCACTTTCTAATCCATTTGAAATTTTGGTCCTTGTTATCTATATTAATTAATTTTGACGGAACACTTTCGTGCCCTGTGCTCACGCCCGCCATCTTGGCGACTTCTCGAGAGCTGGTTCGATTGGTTGTCCCCAGAATTATTTCACCTCACTTGATACCAAATCATTACTTATTAAAATTAACACCGCTGGAGATGTAATTCCAAGTACAGCTTTCTGAGTCTTTGCGAAAGGTGACCAACCCACACTTGAAAAGAACAGTGTACGAAGCATCTGATTAATAACATCAAGGGAAGGGAAGTATAGGCATTGCAGCAGTGCGTCTTATTATTTAGGGCTTCACACTAAATAGCTATGTAGGTTTTCCTGAGCGCCAATGCCCGAAATTAAACGTGCACTTCGTAACGCACGAATTTGTGCGCGACAATGCACGATTTCATGCGCAAGTATGCAGAAAATCGTGCATTGTCGCGCACAAATTTGTACGTTACGAAGTGCATGTGTAATTTCGTGCATTGGCGCGCAGAAAAACCTACACAGTAATTTAGTGTGTTTCTGACGAAGCATCGAGGGGCAAACAACTTCGTCAAAATTTGTACACCGTTATTTCAAATTCACCTTATTTCACGTTATTTCATTGTTATTTCGCACTGAGAATGAAAGAGTCACCACCATCGCCCTTTCATTGGGTAACGCACGCACCGTTGCCCAAATTTGGGTGACGAGCCCGCGGTGACCAAATTTTGGGCAGTCATAAAATCGTCGCCCAAATTTGGGTAACGCCGTCGGCGACGCCGTAAGGTCCCCGATGACGCTCTTCCGAGGCCACCACGATGACCCAATGTGGTGTTGAGGCCTCCGGTCATCGTGGTGGCCCCGGAAGGACGCCATCGAGAACCTCACAGCGTCGCCGACGGCGTTACCCAAATTTGGGCGACCAAACGCCTGTTACCAAATTTCGGGTGATGAATTTTTCGTCACCAAAATTTGGGCAACGAAGTTGCATTACCCATTGAAAGGGTGATGGTGGTGACCAATTCATTCTCAGTGCGCCGTTATTTCAAGGGTATTTCAACGTTATTTCGCGTCATTTCCCGTTATTTCGCGTTATTTCACGTCACTTCACCGTTATTTTAACGTTATTTCACCGTTAATTCAACGTTATTTCATTGTTATTTCACGTTATTTCAAGGAAAATGTACACCAAAATTCAAGTTGTTTGCCCCTCGCGAAGCATCTATTCGCAGATTACGCCCTGCCTCGTTTTCTTTGTATGACGAATTGGTGCTTCTCGTACTTTGCATTCAGGTCTCACGACGGGAGTGGGTATTTTCGTGGATCCTGGACCGGAAGTCAATAGACTATACTGGTCGAAACTCAATCTTTATTTAGACCTACGCGCAAGCATGCTGTGAAAATTGTAATCCATATACACACACGTAATCGCATGGCACACACATTTTATATCTTCTGCTGGGGTTACTCTGTGACGCTGCATTTAATTGCCGTGTTACCTCGATGTCGATTTTGCTCTAATAGCGTCTCGTCAATTTCGGTTTAGTAGGATCCCGTTTGTTCAATACTGCGTAACGTCATTTTTGCACGGCCCCTGTCTATATGAATCCGTTCACACTCCCAATTTCCTACTGAAAAATGCTGTGCTGTCATAGTACTTAGCTGATTCTCAGTATTTTACGATTACGACTCAAATCCTGTCGTAATACAGAGAAATTTGTTCTTAATATGTATAAATATGTATAAATTGGTCATAATTAGCTACTGATAACTCTTCACCGTTAATATCTTCGCTGCGCAGACATAATTCTAAGTCTTTTGTTCGTATTTCAAAGAAAAAGCTCATTAGAATATTGGGAGTGCAGTGGTTGCTCTCATTCTTGTGTTTTTTTCCACTGAATGAGCGATAAGTAGAGGTGGTCCCACATCAGGCCCTTTCACATCCCCCCCCCTCTCTTCCCGCATTTTACTCTCAAAAATTGTGGAACGGGCCTAAAAGAGAGGGGTTACGCCTTACTTACACTACAAACGTAACTGTCTACTAAGTACACACTTACAAATGCATGCTTGCAAGTACACACTCTAACGCATGCTTGACGCATGGAGTTATACTGCGTCAAGCATGCGTTTGAAAGTGTGTACTTAGTTAGGTTTGTAGTGTAAGTCAGAGTTAAGCAGTTTCCGTTGGTAGATCTGTACGTTTTTGTCTTTGCAGTCTTCATTGTTCCTCGCATCGCTGCAACATGCTGCCCTTCCACAAATTGTCAGTTCACGAGCGCTACATGATAGAGATCGAGGGCGATCCCGACTGGACGGATTGTTCGAGCGGTGCGGAGTCGTCCAGTCCGAGCGAAGACTCCAGTGAGGAAGACAGCGATGAACCCGCAGAGCCACTCAAGGATGCAGATGAAAGCGGTGCCGAGGTGAGAGCTCCCTGAGAGTTATGTTGTCGGTTTCGGGACTGTCTGTTGCTGATAACTAATCCGTTGAGTCACGTCTGAGATTGTGTCAAATTATTTTCTTTCTGCTGATATCCGTCTCAGCCTGCAATTTCTTGTGTGATGCTTACCATGAGTCCGTTCAAGCCAACTTTTGGTTCCGTTCTTCCGGATGAATTTTAGGAAAAGAATATCATCGAAACTTTTGTGGTGACACATTTTTTCATTGTTTGTGGTTGTTTTGTAGACAAAATCATTATGACTTGCAAAATAGTCCCTCAATTATGTCACGGTACTTAGATGCAATACCTTCGAAAGTAATCAAAACAAGTTCCTGTTCCTAAGTTTGCATTACGGTTAGTGCTAAAATTTACTTGTGTAAAAACATATGCCATAAAGCCTCGTTTTTTTTTTAAATTAGTGTTTTGGTAAAATCTTGTAAAACGTAGATTTCTCGTCCGTTTCTATGTGAAATACGCTACTCGCTCGTTTGAAAATTGTAGCAGACTTCATCTTACTACATGGAAAGGCACCAGTAATTCCCAATGTTATCTTGACGGTTTTGGTAATTGAGGGACACGGGGTAAAACTGAAGCAGCTGTTTTCTGGAAAAGATTTGACAGTTTAGACCTCATGATGTGTCAAATATTATTTTCACAACAAGAACAAACACATTTGGTCTGACCAGAGTTCTAAATGTCTATTGTCGACCAAGAAACAGCTGTCCCAATTTTACCCCGTGTCCCAAAATTACCCCAACTGACACAGAAGTTTCTCGTGAGTAAAATTCGCCCCGTCAATATCTGTTATTTGAAGTCTCATATATTTTTCCCAGTGCAGTTGCATTGCGTGTCTACCTCGTGATAGATGTGGAGTGGAGTATTCACCAGGGGAAGTGCACCTGCACTGTGACAATTTGAGTCGTCACTTGATGACAATTTCAAGGCTAATTTTCCTTACAACAATGTCATCAATTCAATTGATGACATTGTTGTCACGCCCATGCAATAAGTAGGAGCTTTGATGAATATGCCATCAATTTGTGACGAGATTGTCATCATTTCAAAATGATGAAAATATCATCCATGTTTTTGTCCTAAAGTGACAACACATTTTTACAGTGTGTCTTCTTACTGAAACGCATTTTTTGATTGGCTTCCTCCAGGATGTGTGCGCCGTGTGCTACGGGGCGGTGCATCTGTACTGCCAGCGCTGCTGGGCCGAGTCGTACTGCGGCTACCGGCACCTCGCCGAAGACCGGCCCAGGCACGACAAGTGGTGCTTCCCCAGAAAGGTGCAGGACGACGAGGAATCTCCGCCAACGCCGCAGGTGAGACAAGGATGCACTCTCAGCCTCTTACTGACTTAATCGTCAGTAAACCATGTTCTATTGCCTACAGCAATGATTAGTAATTTCTTGGTAGATACGTGCATAAAACTATTTAGGAATTTTTGTTTGTCAATAAGTACTAAAAAATATGTTAATAATCATTACAAAAGCAAAAATTACGTATTTTTGATGCACAAATTACTTGAGGTGCTACTCACAATATATCAATACCATGTACTTAAAGTCAATAGCGAGTCTGAGTGTGGAACGTACGAACTCGCAGCTCCCGAGTAACTTCCACGATTTTGTGGGTGCTTACGTGGAAGATGCATACTATCATGCGTAAAAATGCATGTACTGAGTTAAGGGCTTATTTCTTCAGGTTTGAGACTGAGACACAGAAGCGGCTGTCAAATGCCTTTGAGTGCCAATAGAGCGCCTGCGAACTTGCGTCAGGCCGCCCGTTGTGCTCCGCTGTGTTGCGGGCTTGCCTACCCGACTTCGTCAGGCGCTCCGCACACACTCTCAGCCCGCCTTAACCTTTTTCGTTCATTCAAAGCGCAGTCGTTTAAGCTAGTACCATTAATTACAATTTAGTTTATTTTAATTGAGTGGGATATATCTGATTTGTAAATTAATTGTGAAAACTAATTGCTACTACACTGCGTGTTATGTTCGCAAAAATTACTAGGATTAGTTTTGACTAATTTGATATATAAGGCATAATGGTAACGCGCTGAGAGTGCGGCGTGAAACCCGTACACTCTCATTCCAGGAACGTGACATCACGTTGAAACGAACGTGACACAATGTCACGTTCATTTGAGCATTGTCACATTCGTTTGAATGTGAACAAGTTAATTTTTGGCCGATTCACATCCAAACGACTGTGACACAACGCTCAAACGAACGTGACATTTTGTCACGTTCGTTTCAACCTGATGTCACGTTCCTGGAATGAGAGTGTACCTTCACGTCAGCACCATTTCAGAAGTACCAAGTACGAGCTTTTCTGCCAACGCAAGTGTGCGCACATGCAGAAGTTTCATTAAATCCCCATGATTTTTCCATCTTATCTTTTCTCGGAAATTTTGGACAGTGTAAGCGGGGTTCCGGTTGCAGGACGCGGCCATCCTGTCCCTGGGCGAGGACGCGCTGCTGCTGGTGTGCCGCTTCCTGGGCGCGCGCGACCTGGTGCGGCTGGGCCAGACGTGCCGCGCGCTGCGGGCCGTGTGCCGCGACCCGCGCGCCTGGAGTCACGTGACCTGGAGCTTCGAGTTGTCCGAGGAGCGCACCCTCGCCAACGTGGGCCTGCTCAAGGTGGCGCCCGCCCTGCACACCATCAAGCTGGGCGAGCGCTGGCCCAAGGTCAACATGCTTCGCTGCACGCGCCGCGTCAAGAAGTTCGTCCTGAGCTGGGACGAGCAGCTGCAGCAGCCCTACGCCGTGGAGCCCGTGATGCGGCTGCTAGGCCACTGGCGCGGCACGCTGGAGGTGAGTCCACGCGGAAGTCCCAAAGGTAACCGTGTTTGTAGGTTACGGATAGTTGTGTACAACTACAGCACGGATCGAATTTCGTCTTCGTGCGAAAGTTTTTGTCCGTATGGCCATTTTTCGGTCATACACCTAAGTATGAACCTTTTTCGGTCTTACATTTCAATATGACCCTTTTTCGGTTCAGTATGACCCTTTTAGTGGTCAACGTTCTGACCTTTCTGTTTTCAGTGTACGCAGGAGAAGTAACCCTGTTTGCTATTTCGACAGGTGGTTGTCCTGGGCTGCCTCAACAGCGAGGGCGACGACGTGAAGTTGCTGCGCTACATCGACGGCCTCAACATCAAGGAGCTGTACATCGGCGACCTGGCGCCGACCCTGGTGAAGGCGTACCCCGGCAGCGCCAAGGCGGTGCGGAAGCTGGAGATAGGCACCCAAGTGAGCGGCGGCGTCCTGACGCACCTGCTCCGCGCCTGCCGGTCGACGCTTGTCCACTTCAAGGTGCGTCGGTATATGCGCTCTCTCTCTCTCTCTCACACGGTGAAAACGGAACCTGGTTTTCCCAGGAAGCCAATGGTGAAGGCATGAGCAACTTCCAGGGAGTTCCTGGGAAAACCAGGAACCGTTTTTACCGTGCACTCACTCACTCACTCAGCATCCACTGAGAGTGAAGGAGTCCTGATCAGGGCTGAAATTTTGGATGAGATATTTTTTTATCGCCCGACTCTATGGGGGAGATTCATTTTATTACTCCAAAATGGCAGAGGATGAAGGTTTCCTCGCCCTAATTTGAGTGGCAATATACACCTGGGCTTATCCTAACACTGAAGGTCTGCTGAGGCTTGACAGCGATGACGATGATGATTGATTATGATTCATGATGACAGTGGCGGATCCAGAGTCGGCCTAAGGGGAGGAGTAACACTTTTTGCCTACTTACAGAGGAAAAGTGGTGCTTTTAGCCTACCTTCCAGGCTGCTATGTATTGTCCTCCCCCCCCCCCCCCCGAAAAAAAAACAAAAAAAAACGGTGGATCCGCTCTTGCATGATGATGGATGACGATTGATGATGATTTTATCAGTGTGACGCCGCCATCTGAGTTCCTCTCTCCGCGTTGTTCCAGGCGTCGTCCTTCTTCATGGACCTGAACGCCTGGGTGCACCCGCACAACTGCGGGCGCGAGCCCCGGTCGTCGGTGCGGCGCGCGCTGATGCGTTGCCCGGGGCTGGAGGTGGTGGCGGTGCCCGCCTGGTACGGCAGCCTGTCCATGCTCCACGCCTGGCCCGCGCTGCACTCGCTGTGCCTCTACGACTTCGGCGAGGTGAAGCACCGCGCGGCCAAGGAAGTGTTCCGGACCGCCGCCGCGGCCAAGCAGCTGCGCTCGCTGTCGCTGTGGATGGAGACGGTGGCGCACCGCGGGCTGCTGGTGGTGGTCGCGGAGGCCTGCTGCGCGCTGCGGGAGCTGCGCCTCATGTTCGGCACCACGGACGACGTGGTGCTGGCCCCCGTGGACGTCCCCCGGGACCTGCACGCCGTCCTCGGCCGCCTGCCCGGCCTGGAGAAGCTGGTCCTGCACGCGGCCAGGGTGCCCGGCACCGTGTTCCGCGGCCTGGCGCACGGCGCGCTGCCTGCGCTGCGGAAGCTCGTCCTGCTCAAGTGCGCGGTGAGGCAGCCTTTCTCGTGTCGTTGTCTAGTTGAACCTGTCCCCTCCAGTCTAAGTTTTTAGCAGTTGAACGTGAGCTGTTACAGCGAATGTGGCGCAAGCACATCACGAAGAATTTTTTTCTGTGCGTATTTTTATTTTGAAGATACCTACCAAGTATAACCTTCGTTTTCTGGATATTAGTATCTTCCAATGGAAATACGTACAGAAAAAGTGTGTGCGAAAAATTTTTCTTCGTGATATGCTTGCGCCGAATTTGCTGTAACGTTGCTCAAATTTCATTGCAAGAAACTCAGTGTGTGTACACAGCATGCCTCAGGTTGAAGCATGCCTGCAAGTGCACCCCTACTCTCTAATTATCGTACACTGAAATCTTTCCCAATTTTTGGTGAAATCGGTGCAAGCATAATGTGAATCAATATTTCTTCATAATACGAAACTTTTTAGTCTTTTCACTGTAAGATTCAAAGAGTAACATTCACAGTAAAACTACCTTCGTGTTACGCTTGCGCCACTTCCTTCGTATTATGTAAAATTTCTTCGTGAGGCGTGCAGTGTGTGACGGGACTCCGACGCTCTCCCCGCAGGTGACTCCGAAGGGGCGGGAGGCCCTGCAGCACCTGCGCGGCGTGCGCCCGGACCTGCGGGTGAAGGCGAGGAAGCTGCGGACGGCGCGCTGCCAGGGCGACGGCCTGGAGGCGGTGCGCTGCGAGCAGGAGCTGTGCCGCGTGCCCTCCGACTGCGAGGACGACGACCCCGTGGGCGCGGACGCCAGCGACGACGACCACGACTCCATGGACTCGGACGACTTCACGGACTTCGTGGAGCGCTGTTGGAGCGTCGGGGACAGGGACGGTGACGACGAGGAAGAGAACGACGAGGAGGACGAGGACGAGTAGGCGGAGAAGTTACGTTAGGTGGCGAGCGGAGTCAGAGTACTTGGACTGAACAGCTAACTGTGATTGCCTCAGAGATGATTTTGAGTTGGTGTTGAAATTAATGCGGATGAATTTGAGTTAGTTTTATCATTTTAAATGGAATGAATTTGAGTTAGTTTCATCATTTTAAGTATGTTGAATTTGAGTTAGTTTCATCATCGAAAGAAGGATGAATTTGTGTTAGTTTCATCATTTTTATAGGTATGAATTAGTGTTAGTTTTGTTATTTTTAATGGTATCAAGTTGAGCTTTTGTAATTTTACTGGGGATGAATTTGAGCTCTGCTTTTGTTACTTTCATTGGTATGAATTTGACTTGCTTTTGTAGTCTCGATTGTGGCCACACGTTCGGAATGAGCAACTAACTGTTAATGTAAGAAGACGAATTTTAGTTAGTTTTACAATTTATATTCGCCTGAATTTGAGTTGTCTATATTTTGAAACTTCGATTGCGGCGACATGTTTTACTGATTTTATTGAGGCAATGCGGGACGAGGCTGGGAGTTTTACAGTTTTTCTAGTCTAAAAGAATTGCCCGCAGCCGCAAGTGATACTAGTTTTGTTGTACCCTACATTTATTTGTTTTATAAGGATTAAATTAATGGCACGTCTTCTTACGATGTGTACGCAAATATTCTTTTTCCCCTTCCTTTCCCTGCGCTTTCATGTTCCACGCAGCATCAGCGTCCAAACTCGATTCAAAAGTTGATTTGAAAACTTGTCTTGCTAAAACAGGAGGTTAATTTTTTTAACCGAACGAGCATGTACCATAACTTACTCTACAATTTGAACTCAGTGCATAGTGCACTCTGCGTGCACACTTTTCACATACACAGCAGTGTATCTGGTCGAGACAGCATGCTGCAAGCCACCTGCCCAGGAACTGTCCTTACGAGCACACCGCTTGTTGTAGTTTGCATGCTGATTACGCTCCAGATGGAGTGTGCCATGCGCGTAGTTATAACTGTGGAGGGGTCAAAAGTTCGAATTTCAACTTGGAATTTTTGTTGTTGATGCAGCTTGTCTTTATTTCGCCTACACGTTCCGTTACTGAATTAGCTAAACATTGGAATCTAATTGTGTTTTTAGAAATGGGCTGGGCCAGAAAACAATCTCTGCGTGGTCCGCTCACGGCCCACGGCACCGCTCGTTCTGATCCCGGCAGCCTACGATCTAAATGTCTTTACTATGAAATCGTAGCTGTGTTACAGTGAATTCGGCGCAAGCATAATACGAAGCAATATTTCTTCGTAAATCTTATCTCTTAATTATTTTATTTGTAATATCCAGCCTTCGTTACGTGACGAAAAACCACCTTCGCATTTGTATGCTTGCTCTGTTTCTTTCGCGTTACAGGAAATTTCTTCGTAAGACAAATGTCCAGATAAATGAATAAATTTAGAGCGCAGGCCTGCCTCTGGCTTGAGAAGAGGGATGATTCCTTGCCAAAAAAAAATCAAGGCATAGAAGTTAGACAACTAGACAGAATTACTGATTTAATATTAGGGATCCTTAACTTCACTGATATTCCAAACGCTATGAGTATAGCACGTATGTTGCAATGCATTAAGATATTGCACCATACGTGCTATGCCATAGCCATATTGCACCTTACGTGCAATGCGTCCCGAAAACGCCCTATGCTAATGCATGGGAGGCATTGCACTTCACGTGCAATGCAAAAGCATTGCACGCAATTGAGTAGCAACTGACAGAACTGTTTAATGATTGCACCTAATTACTGATATTCCAGCGCTATATAACACGTATGGATTCCAATGCACTTGAGAATTGACATAGTGCTGATGCCAAGTACACAATGTAGCAACAATACAGTGATTGCGTCCCGAAAATGCCCTATGCTAATGCATGGGAAGGCATTGCACTTCACGTGCAATGCAAAAGCATTGCACCAATTGGTCCAATGAAAATGTCCTCAAATGCATTGCACCAATTGACGCTATACCGAGCGCTATACTCATAGCGTTTGGATTCTCAGTGTTACCCCGAAAGGGCATCATAACGTTATCGGAAGCGCCAAGTCATAACCCTTGACTCGTAAGTTATTTTTGTTGGATCTCGAACATGTATTTGGAAGTACTCGCAACAATCCATTACCTTAGCAAACATCGTCGTATGTTACATTGTGAAAGCAGTGTAAGTTAAATGTTCCCTAGCTGCTACTCTTCACTCTTCAATAGAGATTACAAGCCTTTATACCTAGTTCGCAAGGGTGAGGTGATTTCTTCAATGAAGTGGTGTGAAAACTTCGTTTAAGGTGAATACAAAAAAAGTCACATAAAATGTTTTGGGCAGGTTTCATTTTTACTAATCACAAACTTACTGAAATTCCTCGGTGGATGGCTCTCCAACACGAGTAATTGAAAACACTTACAAATGACAGTATCACAAATAACTTAAGAGATAGGCTATGACCTTAGTGTTGACCAATTCGTCTAAACCCTCGCCGAGAATGAAATCATGGTGCTGGTATCGCGGAACTTTGTTGACGGACACAGTTGAAGGAATAGTTTTCGTGAGAGTATCACAATCCTGCAAAATGAAGGACATCACGTTGAAGAAGGAACGTAGACTAAGCGAAAGTTTGAAAGAAGACAGAGAATGTATGCATGTTGGTCGCTTCTTTTTCAGCAATTCAACTCGCCTTGATGCTGACTGTCCTGTCACTGATCCCGCAGAAGAAATGGACCGGTGAAGCGACAGCCTGCAGGTTGTAGGATGGCGGCTCAGACGACCCGTACAGCTCAAGGTTTCTAGCCCTTCCGAAGTCGTACTGCCTAAACTCGCCACCTACATAACAAAGCGTCGCGGAGAAGGGATAGGATGAAATCGCAGAGACTTGAGCGGCAAATTACTGAGCAGGCGAATTCACACAGCGTGCGGTGTGAAGCCCGGGGAGAAGAAAAAGTTACCTCTCTCGATGCTCTGGGCGTAATGCACACATTGACGTATCGAAGCCCCAGATGGAATTCGGACGGTGAGTCCACGTAGCAGCCTCTGCAATAAGAAAACAAATACACTCTGCAAGCAAACGTATACACACTGCAAGAAAAAGTGTGAATAGTTTACGGTAAAAACGGAACCTGGTTTTCCCAGGAAGCCAATGGTGAAGGCATAGGCGATTTCCAGGGAGTTCCTGGGAAAACCAGGAACCGTTTTAACCGTGTACAACAAAGGTACAACAAAAACTGTACACCTAAAGTAGAACAGGGATTGTAGAAAGTACAACGAGAACTGTACAAACCACAACGAGGCCTGGACTGCACTGCACAGCATTCCTCAAGCCGGTTCCATTGTGCTTTGTACCACAACTTTTGTACTTTGTAAGTATAAATTCCTGATAAAAACGTTGCCAGAAATTTGTGCACTTTTGTTGTGTTTTCTTTCTTGCAGTGCAACATTGCCCTCTTCAGCATTTGCGAAGAGTCTTGATAAATGCAATTTGTCGGTCTGGGTAACTATGTCACCCACCTACTGCACGGCAAAAGTACCGCCTGGGATTCCCAGGCGGTGCCTGGAAAATAGGCCCTTTTCCCCATGATGTGCCTGGGAATCCCAGGCGGTACTTTTGCCGTGTGCTGTTTATTATTGTACCACCCCAAGACGGGAAATGAAGGGTATATCTGTGATCCACTTGGCTTTTAATAAAAAAAATATTGGGGAGTTGTTGGTACGTACGTCGGCAGCTGAAGGACTGTGCCTTCCCGCGAAAAACTCCGAGAGCAGCGTGCATATTGGCGCCAGGATGATGTTGCGCTTGGCCACATGGCAAATGGTGGTCAGGGACACATCCGAAAAAGGTAGCTTGTCGTTTATTATGTGGTTCCCGGTGGCGTCCTGGAAAATCATGTTTTGCAGGTGTTGCAGAACCCTTAAAAATGCTACACTGCAAATCCTACTGCACTCTAAAAAGCCTACGAAGCATTTCCTTCATAACTACAAAGAAAATAAAGGGATTGTAGAATTGCTTCGAATTATGAAGAAATGTTTCGTATCACGAAGGATTTTGTTTCGTGACACGAAGCATTCTTCGTAGATTTTTTACAATGCCTTCATTTTTTTTTCGTATTACAAAGCGGTTCTTCGTTACAGTTTTTACTGTGTGTGGATACAGGCATACGGCAAGACGCACCTTGAGTAAATTAGTAAGACCAGGGAACATTTTCATCGTGACCTTGGTCAATTGCCACAGACCAGTCGGGTGCTTGATGAAAGCCGACGGGGCGAAGAAAATGTTGGCTATGACCTTGGAATTGTACTCCGGACGTTCGGAGTAGAGCACCATGGAGGCAGTGCAGCTCATGGAGTAGGACACAGCGAAAAGGCGCTCGCGCCCCGTGATGTTGAGTATGTAGTCTATCATGGCGGCCTGGTCAAGGACGCCGTTCTCATGCCAACTGAAACAAGAGGACCACACTGAAATTCGAAGGGTTAGACATCTCACCAATTTTCGGCGATACAAAATGTATCACCGAAAAAATGGTCGTACACACATGTATCACCGAAAAAATGGTCGTACACGCATGTATCACCGAAAAAACGGTGAGACATCAGCGAGATTGGCCCTTGTTTTCCTGGGGAAGTATCACCCTTTTTTCGGTGATACATTTTAGTATCACCATTTTTTCGGTGAGGCAGTTATGTCTCACCCCTCAGAGAGTGAGGTGTATCACTATTTGATTTTCAGTGCAAGAAGAATTACAGCTTAATTTTGCAATTAAGTATCTCTTTTCCGCAGTAATGACTGTAAAGATAATGCGATGGAAAGTTATCGCAAAAATGCGATAAAGTTACTACAAAACGCTCTTTTATCGCAACAGTTAAGGGGCGGGTATTGCAAAAAATTACAATAACAAAATAATTGCACTCCGGGGTGCGATAAATCGAGGAAATTGTGTCGTTTTGATTTCTTTCTATTGGCCAATTTAACTTTTGGTCGTAGGACAGCAGTGGTGTTGCCACGGAAATTGTTTTTCGACTTGAATCAAACTTCGTTGGCAAAGTGCCCGTTTCCCGCCCATTTCCGTGGAAAAGCGTCGGGTCTGGTTCCATAGTTCCAGGCTGATACCTTTCAGCACCTGGTACTGAAGACCGGAACTAGACGCGAGTTCGTTCCATAATCCAACTCACCTGAAGTCCCAGAACTCGTGTGACTTCGGACTGAGAGTTTTGTGTCTCAGACCGTAGGGAGTTCCTCTATAGTTACCCAGCCATACATCGAATCCATTGTCCACAAGCTGCAATGCTGTACCACAAAAAAGAAAAAAAAATGCGAATTATAGTCAAGTTAAGTGTGCACGATTTCTCGTCCTGAAATTTTCACTGAGATTTTCAATGTCACTGGTTTTCGGACAAAGGGACTTTAGTCCACATGTTAGTCAAAATGGTTTTATTGTTTTCTCAGAGTGCTGGCGAGACTTCACACAAAATGGTGAAAGACCTATGATCCTAAGGACATTAGTTCGGAGATCCGACGGCTGACGCATGAAGCCTGAAGCCCGTGTTCCGCGGCCATTGTGGGGCCACCTTCAACCTCATCGCATTTCATGTCAATAGAAGACCCTTTCATTAGACCATTTAATATTTTCTCTCTTAAAGTTTACTGTCAAGTTCATGGAACAGCTTTTCCTTGTACGTCCCTATTAACCTTTTCATTCACCCTTGCAAAATGGAAAATATATGGGCACTATATGGACAAAATATATGGCCCAACATGTATTGACGTCATATGTGGAAAAGATAATTTAGCAAGATACTTTTCTGATATAAAAAATATGTTGCAAATATATAAATTTCATACGTTGCTCTATATGTAGGCCATATATAGTGTGAATACACCATGGAGTCTGACGACTCAGAGACTTCCTTTACTATTATAAAAGAATGTAAACTTCGCCTAGCGCAGACATCCAATTGTGGTCCTACCGTGGTCATCTAGAACTTTTCACGCTACACTCAAAAAAGACGTTTAAAATTTCCGAACTGTTCCAGTTCACTTGTTGAACAGGATTTCTCAAAACTTCTTGGAGACTTAAACGCATGGAAAAGAACCTTTCCCCTGCTCAATATATGGCGTCAATATATTTTACAATATAAAATCATGTTGAGAAATATAGCCGTCTTTCAACATCCAGTGCCAAGATTTTAAGAAAAGTTACTTGAAAAGTCTGCCCTCCTCATCCTGCCCCATCCCAAGACGGGGACCGTGTCAGATATTGAAACATATATTTCGCGAAGATATTATTATATGGGGAAATATATGCAGTATATATTAACGGGCACCAATATATACCCCCATATATAAACCACGTATTGTGCAAGATAATTTGCAATATATTGAGCAAGATACAATTATATTGACAACGCATGAAACATAAATGGAGTCATATATTGACACATATTTTCCATACATTTTCCTTTTTGCAAGGGCAAATTCATCTATCTTGCATTACCAAATTTACCTTGGTTCAAACATTTTTATGTTAAGTCACCATTCAAAGATTACACCGAAGCAGTTCCAAATTTGTCTCATCCGTTACCTGTGTACATGTATTGCAGCTCTCTCTTATTCTTTTCTCTAACACTGCATATTGACTAATACTTTTATAATAACTTTCCACAAACATATTGTCCACTTTGTTTCAGTAAACAACAAATACATGTCAAATATTAGTTTAAAGATGGATGGAGAGATTTCAATTTCCAGATTTCTTACTATAGAATTTTCACCTTTTACCAGACTGTTAGGTTTTCGATGTTTCTTTCAAGACTGAACTCATGCCGGCCTCACAGATGTTCCAGATACCCCACTCCCCTTATGTCTTCACAACGCCAAACCTGGCCGGAAAAGGAAACTGGTATGTATGAATGAAATACATTGGATGTATGGGCTTGGTCGAGGGGTGACCGACTCCGAAAATTTGCGTACGAGGAACATGTTCCGTCGGAACATGTTCCAATTTTGGGAACATTTCGGAACATCTCGGAATATCAGGAACATAGGAAATACCAGGAACATCTGGGAACATCTGGGAACATCTAGGAACATTTGGGAACATTTGGGAACATCTGAGAATATCTAAGAACATTTGTGAGAAAATCTATCAAATCCAGTAAAAAAGACTCGTTTGCAGTCGAAGGCTATTGATAGAATCATTACTGCCTCGATTGTTTCTTCTGCTACTCCACTCTGCCTCCTCTGACTGCTTTTCACCCAAAGATGTAGAAGAGATTGTAATGTGACTACCATCTCTATGTGCAGAATAATCTTTTCTTTTCTTGCTATAAAAGGAAATGTTTCATGCATGGATTTAATATTTCTATTTGAAAAACATTGACACTTTTGACTCAAAATTTTAAATCCATTTGTCGCCTCTCACCAATTTTGGAGCTGCTTTGTGTCATCTATATTGTGAGTTTGTGTGCCAGCTATTGCAACCTTTACTTTGTTTCGTAGTTTCTTATTATTTCAGCAAGCGTAGGAGAAATACAAAAATTAGAAGAAATACATGTTTTTGAAATTTTTATTTGCATGCATATGCAGAAGTGCCTCCTGCTTCTGGGGATTTCACAACATGTTGCTACAAATAAATTAAAATTTGTATATATTATATATATATATATATATATATATATATATATATATAATTATATATATATATATATATATATATATATATATATATACACATGCATACATACATACATACATATGGATAACAAAAATAAAATACAGTGCAATTGCTTTCATTGCTGTTTCGTTATTTATAGTGTTTGAGTCTTAAAGCTGCACTTAGCAATAAAACACTGCATATACCCTCTTTAAATACTACTCAGGTCTCTGAAGTCAGTGGAAAAATTAAACAAAACAAATATTTGTCACTAAAGCAATGCTTCTTATGATAGCATGACTAGTAGAATTAGTATGTTGCTAACTTACAGGTAAAACTAAAAGAAATATTGCACTGAGCTTATTTTAAAATTAACAGACACAAATAAAAGCAGCAGGAAAATTACCATAAAATCTTTCTAAACAGTCCTTTGGAAAGTCATTAGGAAAACGATCACGTTTGAGTCTTAAAGCTGCACTTATCAATAAAACACTGCATATACCCTCTTTAAATACTACTCAGGTCTCTGAAGTCAGTGGAAAAATTAAACAAAACAAATATTTGTCACTAAACCAATGCTTCTTATGTTAGCATGACTAGTATGTTGCTAACTTACAGGTAAAACTAAAAAAAAATATTGCACTGAGCTTATTCTAAAATTCAAAGACACAAATAAAAGCAGCAGTAAAATTACCATAAAATCTTTCTAAACACTTATTAGAAAAGTCATTAGGAAAAGGATCACAAAAAACTACCTTCTTGACTTAAAAGAACGGAACAGAGATCTCATCTCTGTGCAAACTCTTCTATCCAAGCTAAGAGATGAAGCATCTTGGTTTGGCCTCGGAAGAGTACATACATAGAATGAAATATTATGAAATCCATGAGAGAAGGTTAAGTCAGGCACTAATGAGTTGCCCTTAAGGGCATACCATGCACAGAGGACCCCTACACTCTTCTCAGTTTTAGGAGTGTTCACCATAGCAAAATTTCTGGAATATTGCAGTTCTTTGTTCGTATTTCCAGAGAGATATCCAAAGGCAATGGTACGGCCCACCAAAAATGTTTTCTTGTCAGCTGTAGCAAAGGCACACCAATCACCTTCATTTATGCACTCAGCTTTGATTACTGATTGAACAAGCTCAGCAGAATTTCTCGATGATAAGTGATGGACCTCTGGCACCTTAACTCTATGAAGCCTGTCACTACTAAGTTTTGTGCCTTCTTGACTCCAGATGTACAGTAAAGTTTTTTTCTTAATTATCACAGGTTGCTTGAAGCCATCTGCCACTTTGACATACATGCTGTTTGGGGCTAAACTCACATTTTCCCAGGTTTTGACACCAATAGCTCCAGTTGAAACCACGCACAAATCTTCAGAAATTTCTATAGCTTCTTCATCCGCAAGACCCATCTCATCTTCACTTATTTCTTCCTCTGCATCCATTTCCACCAGAGAGCCATCATTATCCAGGTCCTCATCAACAGGAAACGAAGCGAAAGAGAGAGATGGTTCGGGAATAATGCTTGATTCCATTCCAAGCTTCTGAGCTGTCTTCAAGGCAAGAGCTTCCGCTTGGGCAACTGCATCTATAATTTCTTCATCACTTGGCAGTGGAAATTTTGGAGGCACTTCCTGCCTGGACTTAGTTGAGCGTCGACTGGAGGGAAAAGTAAATGTATCACCCAGCGATGCCTCAACGTCAGCTTGAAAATCTATCCTTCTGATGCGGTGTAAAAGTTCCAAGATGGTAAAATTTACCACTGTAGTCAGGGTTGAAGTAAGTAAGCGAGCAAGGCGGAAGAATGCTTCACAGCATTGACTGGAAAATAACCAGGGGAAGAACAAATCATCTTCTGCTAAGTCACGCAAGGTGATGATAAGAATAATTAATGAGTGTGCATTAATTTCAATACAAAAATAGGCATTGCTGGTGATGAAATTATCTTGAGGATTGTAGTTATTTTTTATCAACCAATCACGCCACAACCTGAGAAAGAAAACCCACCGCCAAATGGAAATTATTCTTTGAAGTGGTGACAACATTTTATCTTTATATGAGGCCACGACTTGTCTTGTCATTTTCAGGTATGTAGCTGTCCCAAGGCTTCCAGGAACTTCTGTCTTCAGTAGGCGGCAAACATTTCTCTCCATCATTTTTTCTATTGACCTAAAGTTCATTTTGTCTTGGGAACTTAAGTCACTTAGACACAAATTATGCTGGTCTTTACTCACATTTTTTATAAGTACTCTGAGGTCAGCAGGTGAAACAAGAAATGAGCCCAGCGGAAGCAAAATTGATGGGGTTAAAAGTCTGTTTCTTAGCTTTGTAGCTATGTGGATATAATCCTGAATGCACACTTTTTTAGAAGAGGAGTCAGACTTAAACCATGATCCAAACTTGCCAGCTGATGTGGAAAATGTTAGATTTTGCATGCACTTCATGAGCCGGGTGTCGCCATCAGAGGCATGAGCAAGAACTATGATGCCATGCTTTGCTGCTTCATCTTGGAGGTATTTCCACCTTCTGGAGACATCTAATGCAACAAACTTATTATTAGATCCAAATAACGATAGACAAATGGGTGCTGCTCCATCAGCTAAAGGTTGAGCCATCACACAATAGCCATGATTACTGAGGGTATTTTCTTCAATGTGCTTTTTGATTACAGGTGCAGATGTTGCAGGAAATGCTCCTATCTCAGGAAGGCCTCGTTCATCTAATTTAGGGACAAGTCCTACCAGCTGATTTGTTGCTGAGTCGTACTGAACCTTGCAGATGATCCTTGTTCCGTCCTCACCAATTATGATCATCTTGGGGTATCCTCTTTTCTCCAGATATTGAGCGACCAAGTCAAATCTGATCTCGCCCTCCTTCAGAGTATCATTGCTGTTGGAAATGGTGCTCTGGAGTACAGATATACATGGAAGGCCTCCTGGCAAGTTAACATAGAGTAAGTTATAAAATTTTCGACCAGCAACTTGGAACATGTAGGCAGAGAATTGTTTCCATTCTAGGAAAAATCTTCGACCATGAGGGTCTCTTCCTGCATTGCTTTCAGAGGCGGCAAGAAGGAATTTCAAAAAGTTGCTCAGTTTACCTTTTGATGATGTTTTGTTCTGTTTCTCTAGATCTTTAGACATTGCATCAAGTTTCAATTTTAAAGCATTATTTTCCTGAAGCACACTTGTCAAATCACGAAGAGAAAAATATTCATTAATTTTGTGGCAATTGACCGCAGCGGCTTCCAATTTTCTCTGATTTCTTGCTCTGCGACTCCAATCAGTCTTGGTTTCTCTTTGGCTGCGTTCTGGGTTTGTTGAAAGTGAGAGAGCAGATGCAGCTTGACTTGCGCTCTCAGTATCTAAAAACCCAAAGTAGATTCATCTTCAGATTCATCACGGATTTGGTTTCCTGAACATTTCTTTTTCGGTGAAATAGGAGCTGACTGAATTGAATTAATATCATTATCAGAGTCATCAACAGTATGAACCAGAACTTCAACATTCATAAGTCCCGGGTTAAATTCATCTTCTTCAGTAGTTTTCTTTTCAAATGATTTTCTTATGTCCACATTCTTTGTGCCCTTTGTTTTCATTTGACATAGTCTGATGTGTTTGTAGAAGTTACAGGTTTGCCATGGAGTTGAGGCGTTCGGTTTCTTAATAACCCATTGCTGATTGCAAATATGACAGTTAACAGATGCCGATGTTTCTTGACAGCTTGTGCAAGTTGGTATCACCTTTAGATCTTTGATGTTCAGCGTACCTTCATAGTGTTTTCTTATTGAAGAATTCAATTTTTCCTTCAGGGCTTGGACTGGATCTTCTGGTTGCACCTCTTCAGTGCGAGGCTTCTTGGCTGGCACTGTGTTAACAGAACTGGGAGATTTTGTTTTCTTTGCAGAGAAAATTTCTGGCAGCTTTTTTTTTTCTGCTGTTCTACAATCTTCTGTGATATATTCCTGAGAAGTTGTTTGTGACCTGTAAATAAGTATTGAATGAGTAACATTTATAAAAAAGTTAGATGCACAGCAATAGACAGCTTTGTTGATAAAGTTGATACTGGTTTTCAAACTAGAGAATGAGTAATGCATTATATTGCATTCTAATATTACATATCATTGTAACTAAGGGAACTAAGGTGTCATTCACATATTTTCTCAGTCAGTCCACACTATTGTAAATTAGTTACCAATATTGAGATACATGTGCACTTCTTCCCTACAGTTGTAGGTATATTAAATGGAACTTTGTTTCTCAATGTTTACTACATTCTGTTCCACACAGATTAGGAATACCTTAAACTGAAGGAAAATAGTGCACTGGAAAGAAGTTAATGAGTAGAGGCAAACAAAAGAAAATGTGGGTATAGTTCCATTGATAACTGGAAGGAAATAGAAAGTGTTAAATGAGAATGAAAATTTTACCTTCTAGTAGCTGAAATTTATCTGGTTTCGATTTGAAAATTCCATAGTATTGTTGGACTTCTTCTTCAGAAAGCAAGTCTGAACTAGCCTTCATGAAAGCTTCAATCTTGTTAAATACTTCGTCATTAATTGAAGCCAGAAGGCTCTTTGAATCGTAACCATTCAATGCCAGTATATTTTGAAGCATAAGGGGTATCTGTATATCAGTCTCTACCGCTAGTTCAGACCACATACTTGTCGCAGTCTGCGTTGACTCGTCCTGAATTAAAAAAGAAACAAAGTATTTCAATGTCTTCACCAGGTAAAAAAGATAATGAAGAAATTTTGGATGTTTTAAAGTACACACCTTCTTACTGATTCCGTCTGAATTTTGTTCAAAGTGATCACCTCCTCCTTCGGCCATTGTTATGCTTGTTGCTTGAGTACGAGTGGATTGTAACTCAAACTTTCTGAAAACAAATCACAACCAAAAGCAATATTAGAATATGCTAAAAAAGGAAATGAGAATGTTGAGCTGTTAACAAAGTGTGCTTTAGTCAGACATGTTTTCTAGAACTGCTTGACAACAAAAACAACGTCACATTGAAGGGTACTATTTTGGTGAGGTTAAAGATACTTGTGTTCGGTTACACATGTACGTTCCTCACTTCAATGCGTAGGAAACAATTTTTCTAGAATTTCAATGCGAAAATTACGCGAACTGCCACAAATACTAACGACGAGAGAGTTACAAGAAGTGACCTGTAAGAAACAAACTTAACCTTTAAAACGCAGCAGATCCGAGCAGATGTTTCCAGCCTTTCCGTTTACATATTTTTACGACTCGGAACACGCAAAACTAGCAAATAGTAAACACGCCGTTGATTTAAAACATTTCGGTCGATCAGAGGCGTATATAATTACCTTTTGTAGTACCAAACTCGGACATGCACAACTTGACTATGTCCACAGGTCGCAGCTCGTCTCTGGCTCGGAGGGAATGCCGTTTTAGAGGGCGATGGTAGCGCCGTGGAGGATGGATGAACTACGACAAGCTGCTGTAGGCGCCGATACTCCATGCTGCACCGGTGGGCGACGCGGACCGGCTATACTTGTATTTTTTGAAAAAAAAAAAAGGGGGGGACAGGGAAAATATCGGAACATTTCGGAACATTTTGGAACATTTGGGAACATTTGGGAACATTTGGGAACATCATGGAATATCTGGAACATTTTGGAACATGAGAACATTAGGAACATCAGGGAACATTTTTCGGAACATTTGACCGATGTACGAGGAACATCGGAGTCGGTCACCCCTCGGGCTTGGTGGTTTTCATCGGGTACTTTATGAGGCCATAGTTGGCGGGCCTGCCGTTCGTGCTTTTGTCTGAGTTTCCCCCGTTGTTATTGCAGGAAGCTACAAAATCGCCCTCACCGCAATCATCTTCATCATCATCATCACCATCATCAGCAGCATCTTCATCCAGCTCGTCGCCCTCACCGTCGCCCGTAAGTACGGCAGCACGGCCGCGTGTACCGCTTCCCACTCAACTCAAATATGCTCGGTTTCTCCACCACGGTATTAAAGGGCCTCACACAGTAAAAAAAGATTCGCTGTTTTGGTGGTCGTTCTATATCCAATCTCACCGAAACGGGTACCCATACAAACCCGGCGACGGCCCGTCACCAAAACGGTGACCTGCGTCACCAGGTGGTGTTCCGCCAGAGAGGTTAGGACAGCGGTTCTCAACCTTGGGGTCGCGAAAAAATTTCGGGGGGTCGCGGCGAGGTAACTGGGGTCGCTTGGGGTGGCGGCGGTTTCCCAGCTGGCCCACACGCCGAGCACTGGCGGGAACAACTTTTAAGTTGATCAAAACGGTCACAAATGTCTATTGAAAAATCGTGTTTTGAGCCGACTTTAAGCAGCCACTGCGTCTAATCCGAGGCGGTATGCCGTCCTCCCTCAACGGGCATTTGGTCTTTGGACCTTCCTTTAGCATGCCTTTGTTACGGAGTGCGATTATCTACCTTAGTTTGTGAGCAGTATTGCCGCAAAGTTGATCAAAACGGTCACAAATGTCTGAAAAATCGTGTATTGATCAACTTTGCGGCAATACTGCTCCCAAACTAAGGTAGATAATCGCACTCCGTAACAAAGGCATGCTAAAGGAAGGTCCAAAGACCAAATGCCCGTTGAGGGAGGACGGCATACCGCCTCGGATTAGACGCAGTGGCTGCTTAAAGTCGGCTCAAAACACGATTTTTCAAAGACATTTGTGACCGTTTTGATCATTTTTGCTGCAATACTGCTTCCAAACTAAGGTGGATTATCGCACTTTGTATCAAAGGCATGCTAAAGGAGGGGTCGCGTGGGGTCGCGAAATTTTTCCTGGGGGTCGCGGAAATTTTTCGCTACAAATTTGGGGTCGCGAACCGAAAAAAGGTTGAGAAACGCTGGGTTAGGATGACCACAGCAACTGTTTTTGAGCTGTTTGTGCATATTTGTGCGTGCCCGCCGGCAACGTTACGCTTTGATGAGTCACACGAATGATTACTGACAGCCCCTGACTTGTTTTGTGTCCTATTTCACATTAATACGACGGTTAAAAGTCGCTGGCGGGAGGGTGACTGCAGTGCCGTTCTGGTGAGGTGGCCGCTCCGGAACGGACCGAGCGCCACCGAAACTAGACCGAGCGTCGCCGAAACGAACAGAGGGCCGCCAGAACAGTTTGAGGGTGTTGCTGTTCTTGTAATATTCTCGTTTTGGCGCCCAGACGTCACCGAATTGGCGAATCTTTTTTTACTGTGCAGGCCACCTTCTTCCAGAATCTGACAACCTTTATCTGGAATTTGATTCTGTTCTGCCTCAAGAGGCATTTTTGGTAATCTATTTACACATTTTGAGTTACAAGCAGTTTAGGACTTTAGAGCCGTTTTTCTCAGTTGTTGATCTTCTGAGCTTGTGTACAAGCTTTTGAGAGAACGGCTTGAAATATCGCCTTGGAAATACGCTGTTTTTTTGGGTTTTAAGATTGATGCATCTCAGTTGAAAGACAATGACAAATTTCAAAAGGTGTTTTTTATGGTTTAAAAAAATTAAGTTTTGAAATATTTCCTGATGTTCTTTCTTAAAGCTATAGGGTTCTTTTTACTGCCAAAGTAAAAGTTTATAAATTACCAATATTCTTTGGCGTCTTGTTGATGTTGTTTTTGAAATCCTCTGGTGAATGTGCAGTGTTTCCTTGTGCCTTTCATCTTTTTTCTAAATCATCTCCACAGAAGAGCGATTCTCACGTTTCGGGGTAGTTTTGGCGTCTCTGATTAGCCGAAAGTGAGAAATATCCAATTAAGTTTTTCTGATTATTGGGGTCCTGGATGATACTAGAGTTATGGCAATGATATTTATAGTAAAGACCTTTTACTATCTTCCTAAAAACAAGAGCCATAAGGTATTCCCATACGTTTTAGTGGGTGTTTTGATCACGGAAATTACGTTATCATGGAAGTTACAAAGTGTGAAAATCAGCTTTACGGCTGACTCGGGCTTGCTGTGGCTTAAAAGTCGTTCCAGGGTCAAATGATACTCTAAGCCCGACATTTCAGCGGAAAATTTTTTCACCTAGTGCTCCTGCAACATTGGGTAAAGGGTGCCACGGAAGTTACAGGTAATTGTTGATACACGCCATTTTATAATGCTCTAGCCCGCTTTGAGACCGTGTACAGCATCTTAGATTTCCGCGACCCATGCAATTATATCCCAGGGACTCCACTTTGATGGCTTGTGTCATGGAAAGTTAAAAGTTTGGCTTGGGGAGAAGTCCAGAGCTGCCTTTTCGAAATTTGTGTAGTTAAATTGAATATACGGAGGACATTTTTCGTTGCAGGATAAGTACCTTTGAAAGAAGTCTGGCGTATTGGTCTTCGGTTGAAATTAGCTCGAGACATGCCAAGCTTCGAATCCCCATCGACAGTGGGCAGCATTTTCGAACCACACCGCCACACTGGGGGCGGAAAGTTCGAGTATGTTCTCTTTGGACAATCACGGAAGTTACATTTGGGGTATTCCAAACGCCACGTAGACCAATCCAACGAACGAGAACTTTTCGAAATGTGTGCGTTTAGTGGGCAATGGCCCTCCCTAACATCAGAAACAAACCCCATGTCGATATCTGCGCAGGAGTCAGAAGAAACGAAACTACCCCGAAACGTGAGAATCGCTCAGAACTCTTTTTCAGCGATAATAGCCAATTTGCTTGTAGACCTATAGAAAAGCTCTGACAGACGCAACTTGGGTAGACTTTATCTAAAAGGATGTTTGTCACCAGTTGATCATCTTGGTAATGAATATGTTGTCCTTGTGCATGTTCTTGCAGAAAATTCGGCGGCGTATGAGGAGGCACTCGTCTGTCACATCCTCCAGTTCATCTCAGTGAAAAAACAACTAATGAGCACAATGAGCAACTGAAAGAGTAAGTTTGTTCCATTCTCGACTATGAATTTACTTGTGGAGGAAACCTATTGCAGTGCCATACTCCAGCTGAAATTTGATAAGGAAAAAGAGGAAAATCAATTGCGGATTCTTGTAAAAGCAAATTTGGACCTCAATGTGTAAGTAATTGGTGCTAAATGCTCTGCACTATGAAAGAGTGACGTTATGTTGCTGGAAGCACAATTTTAACGCAACAGCGTTGAACCAAACAACGTAAGTCCAGTCGTTTTCTGATAAACCCGGGGGGGGGGATGCCACTCGTTCCTAGGTGAGGTTCGGCTAGGCCACACATGATCGTATGCCATTTCGGGCCCGACACAAGCTCGCCTGCACTGCGAAACGAGACATGGCCGTCCTTACTAGGGTGACACGTTATGGTTTATCTGATAAAAATTCACGGTGCACAAAAAAAAATCAAAAGGTCATTCATTACATTCACAGAAAATATCCCTCACAGTATCAAAATATCGTTCAGAAAGGAAAGAAAATGAAAAGGGATGCTCTGTGGCCGCTGTGGCTTTGGGTTGGAGAGTCAACAGTAGACTATCGCCACTGCTGTATGTTGCTGGACGCGGGATTTAGCGGGACGATTGTGCAGAGAGCAACACAGAGCTTACAATTGTGTGTTGTGTGACATCATTCATTATCTTGTAAACGAGAGGGATTATTTTTCTCTCGATGATCTGCGTTCTCGTGTAAGTAACTTTGACTACTGTTCTACTGAAGTGGGCAACCTTCCCCCTTCATGTAAAATTACAGCTGATCGCATAGCTTCTAGTAACTTGAACTTTTCAGCTTCTGAAATGCTTTGCTTTACAATTTATTTTGGTGAAATGGTTGGTGATTTGGTTCCAGAGGACGATGAAGTCTGGTTACTCTACTTACAGCTTAGAGACATTCTAGATGTAATTCTTTCACCAGCTTTTGTTGTAGGTACACAAGTGTTTTTCAACCACTTGGTAGAAATATTTTTGGATTTCTATGTCAACCTTTTTTATTTTAATCTTACTATCAAGTTTCATCTTTCGTTACATTATGGTTTTTTAATGGCATTGATTGGGCCTCCTGTTTTATTGTGGGGTATGAGAGATGAAGCCAAACATAGGGAGTCAAAAATCATTGCACACTGTACAAATTTTAGGGTCAATCTGGCTCTAACCCTTCTTATCAAGCACCAGCTAAAATTAGTACAGAGACTACTGGCAAGGGAACATTCACAAATTACGTAAGGGCCTCGAGGGGGTGGGGGGGGGGGTGGGGGTCGACCAATCGTTACTAGAGTCTTAGTGGGGGTGGGGGTGGGGTTTTGGGGGGGGGGGGGGTCTAAAGCAAGCCTTATGTAAGGTTTCTGAAAAGCGCTGAAATGGGTTAAAAGTGGGAATATCTTCTGTTATGTCATGTTTGCGTTGATTTTATTATGGCCAAATGCCCTTTTATTGATTTCTAGTTATGAACCCACGCTTTTGCAATGAAAGCAGTGCCATCTTAAATCAGAAATCTGATTGATTTCTGCCTCCGAAACCGCTGACTTATCTCGTCTTCTGCACAAAACACGTAAAAAACAGAAAACCGTTTTGAGGGTTTTATGGGGATTTTTTGGGGCGAAAACCTTACGTAAATGGGGGGTGGGGGGTCTTGAAAACCTTACTTGGCCTTACAAGGGGGTACAGGGGGGTCAAAAACGCCCCAAATCGCCCTTACGTAATTTGTGAATGTTCCCTCAGAAGTCTCTTCCTCCTGTTTTGTGTGGTTGCCCGGTTTACACTTTCAATCTCAAGAATGGGCAGATTTATTATGCCAGACACCGACGCTTCAGTATGGCGATCAGAAGTCTCTTCCTCGTTTCGTGTGGTTGCCCGATTTACGCTTGAGAATGGAGAGATTTACACTACCAGACACTACGCGTCCGCCACCGATGATTCGGTATGGCGATGCAACCATGGTGCAACCACCGGCGCCCATCGTCATGATGCGGCGAGAGTCCGCAAACCGACGCGTTTTGGTAAGTACAGCACACAGTGCCCTCGACGTTGCCTTTGTCCTGTCAGTACCTACATTACGAATTTAACCAGTTGTCTGACTAGAACCTTAACCTCAACCTTCAAAACGTACGTGCCGCCTTGTACCTGGGGCACAACCAATGTTCACTCCGCCAAAATGAACTGCCCTTTTCCTAAATTGCATCAGTCTTCATTGTTGGCTGAGCGATAGCGAAGCATGTTTACTCGGGTGGTGTTGAAAAGTTTTGTCTGTCTGTCTGTCTGTGTGTGTGTGTGTCAGCACTGCTGCTCCGGAACGGCTCGGCCGATTCAGCTGAGATTTTGAAGGGTCATCGGGTATATTCTTAGCTCGCCACACACCAAAATGCAGCTTACTATCTCAATCCCTGCGGTTAAACCCACAAAAAAACACTTTAAAAATGGCAGGAAAAGGCATGGTTTACATATATAAGCGGATGGAGGAGTTTTGCCTCAATTGGTGCCAGTGCCAGCAGGGCATGTAGGGGTGTTTTAGAAATCGGGGTGACCAGACCGGTTCGACGAACCCGGTTCCGACAAGATGGGCCGCTCCCACGAGTTGGCCAGATCAGGATCTTGGAAATTTCTGAGCGCTTAGAAACTTAACCACTTAAAGTAGGTGTAAACGCCAAGCGTGGATTGTCGTGACTGGGGCAGCACCGCGAAGCCTGTTACGACGAGACACGGTCTGGCGTACACCTACCTTGTTATGTTCAAAAACGAAAGGACTTAAGTTGTTTTGTTCGAAAACGAATGGACTTACGTCACCGAACAATTGCTACAGTTTTCTGAGTACCATGTTCACTGCTAATCCAAGTGTGGACCAGGTCAACGCTACGTAGCGTGGACTACGATGGTCCAAGCTAGGAAACGTGGACCAAGCTGAGGTCCACACTTCACAGTGTTTAACTCCTCATAGGTCAATCATACTTCCAGATGTAGACTATTCGTGGTCCCTTCCATCAAACTTTGATGGAAAAGGAGAGATTTCATAGATACTCAAAGAAGATCCAAAGCTGTGCGAAGTGGAAAAGGAAAGTAGACATATCCTGCTCCTCATTCTTGGAAGAAGTGTCTCAGAAAGTAAACATTGTTGAATCGCCACCAAACTATTGTGCAAGTGTGGTGCTGCTGAGACCAGCACAAAACCTGCAGATCCCTAAAATGTTTAAAAAGAGTGCAAAGAGTGCTGCCAGGAACCTCAACTTTGAATCGAGTAAGGAAAACCTTGGAAGAAGAGAAAAGTTATGTCACTCTTATTTACTTTATATAACCTTATTATTCTCAATTTATTCTTTTGACTTCAGGATTTGCCTCCACCAGCAGACGACAACAACAGCAGACTAACTGTGCTCTGGAGGAACTTTCAACTTCTGGTGTGAGTGATGAAATTCCTGCCAGTCCTCCTGTCCAAGTGACACTACCTAACAGTGATTCAAGCAAGCATGGACCATTCGTGGTCCACGCTACCTAGCGTGGACTTGGCCCACACTTGGATTAACAGTGTTGTCTTTTACCTGAAATTTCATGACCATATTTGCCATAACAAAGCTTAAAACGACTTGTAACTGTCTCCTGAAAAACTAAAGGAAATGGACTCACGTCCCTTTGTCCAAAAAGCAGTGATGTATCTCGAGTGATTCAAGCCTATTCTGCCTGAATTAATCTGAAAATGTGTAAGCAGAACTGAGCCAGAGACAAGGCGGAGAATTTGATATCTTCGGAAGTATTGCTCTCTCTCTCTCTCTCTCTCTCTCTCTAATCAAATCAAATCTCTCTCTGCGGCGGCGTCCACTTGCGTACAAAGAAGAGCCTTTTCACGACGAGATCGAGAAAGGTCGGTTCTACCAAATGCCGAAAATAAGATTCGATCGGATCACGCGTTCCGGACTTAAAAACAAAATTGAAAATCGAATTTTGACATTGGTTACCACTTTTCGGCAAGAGTACGTACCTAGGTTCCCGTCCTGCCGGAAAATCCACTGCTCACTGCTTGTCAGAAGGCCATGGCCCAACAGGATAGGGCTGTTGTGCCTGCTGGAGTTGAGCGCGTCTGGCTTGGACAGGCGGTGCACAGTCAGGATGTAACCATCAGGCGTAACCACGTCGTGCGTGTCGTCATGGTAACCATAAGACGCCGCTAGCTGTTGATGCGAAAGGGGAGGGTTACTCAAAAATACATGCGTAGAATTCTTCAAACCTTAGTTACGCATCCTTAAAACCTTACGAAGTATTTTGAGCATACTTACAAACTAATTTACTTTGTTATACGAAGAAATAGTTCGTAAATTACAAAGTATTTTCTTTGTACACACTAAATTTCATGGGCCTTTTTTTGTCCCACGGTTTATGCAATTTTAAGCACATCCGACACTGATACAATTTTGTCCCCGTCTGGTGTCACATTTTGTCCGGCGCCAGCTGCAACTTGTACTTTCACTAGACAATTTGTCCCGCCTGGCGGACACAAAATTGCATCACCACCGGATGTGCTTAAAATTGCATAAACCGTGGGACAAATAAAGTCCCATGACATTTAGTGTGTAAGCTTATGTATGCTCAAAATACTTTATTCTAACAAACTGCTTTGCTTTGTAAGACAGTTTGTAAGGTTTTCTCAGAGCGAATCGACACCTCCGTGGAAGACTATACTTTCCCCGTGGCAGGGGAAGACTGGTCCACACTGCGAGAAAAAACTGCAGAGAATCCTGTTATTTTTTTCACAGCGTCGCTCTGTACCCACAACTACAGTGATCTCTGTCTCTTAAAAGACGGAGCTCACTGTTGTTTTTTGGGTTCATCTCTCTGTTGTCCGAGCGGCCAATGCCACATCGGGACAGCATGGCCAAAGCCTTATAGGTCACCGTTGGGTCCCCGAGGGCGTCGACGGGTACCTCACAGGGTCCCCGATGACGATGCGAGCATTTTAGACCTAGGTTCCGACCATTCGTTGAAAAGGTCTCGTCAAGATCTACTCGAATCAAGAAAAAAAAAAATTGTTGGTCAACCCCCTTTTTTCAAGATCCAGTTGACCAATCAGGATTTTAAAAAAGGGGGTTGACCAATAAATTGTTTTTGCTGAGCGATAGCGAAGCCCTTGCCGTGTTTGGGCGCACCAAAAACTGACTGGTCGTGCGTCTGTCTGTTTGTACTCACTAACGATTCTCAGTAAGTACATGGTCTTTAGCTCTCATATTTCGCATTTAACATCCCCTTAGTTTCTCCTAACACGAGTTTGTTTCAAATCATTGATTAGTATCGTTTGAAATATTCAAAACATATTTTTGAATCAGGTCATTAGCATGGTTAGGTTGGCAGCAGTCAGCAGTTACCAATTTCTCATACCTGCAGCCGCGGCTCTCAAATACGGGACAGAAGCTAAACAGCAAATAAAACAAAATAAAAAGCAGAAGGGTTTGGAAATGAGATCGACCTTAGTTTTCCAACATTCTAGAATGATTAAAACCCCTTTGGAGTATCAACACAGCGAAATATGGAGAATGGAAGTGAAAATGATTTACGTCTTTCGTTCCCCTCTCCCCCCTCCCCCGTTAGAGGGGAGTCTTCTTCAGGTCAGTGCACTTTGACAGAGCATTGTAAAAAGAATGTTTTTATTTTGACCTTTTGTATTGTGGGCATCTACTTATTTCATTTTCTATAGTGTCATCCTCTTTTTTAAATTTTCATAGCAGAGGAAATCAGGGAAATGCATAAATAACTTGTGTTGAAATTAGCAGCAAATTGGTTTGGACTCGAGAAATACATTCTATTGAAATGCTGCAAGCTGACAAGAGTGCAAAAGCACTAACATGTGTTTATTTATAGAATCAATGTATGGTTGTGTATATTTAATCCTAATAGAGTTTGGATAGATATTGGCTTCAAAGAGACGACTCAGGTTTTGAGCGGTGAGTGAATTAGTGAATGGATTTAATGAGACGATTCCTTTAACTTCACTGAAGTTAATATAACTGGTACTACTCAGTATTGTATACCTGAGTAAGATAAATTATGTTGGTTCATTAAGCCTTGGGTAGCCTTGGGTAGCCTTGGCATTGGACTCTATGTGACGAATCACTGGGTTTGAGTGACGAATCACTGGGTTTGACAATAATTGATCAGCCTACCCTAAACCGACTCTCTTAATATTAACTGTGATAACGTATTCTAATCAATATTGTTTTATTCACTGGTTCACAATGAAAGAATGACAAAATGTTTCATAGATATTACTTATAAAATTTTGAATTCATCAGTTAAGAAAAAAGAGATATCGAATAGTGACCCAATCATACGAGTAACCAATTAAGCGATTCAATGCTGGCAATTGAATGTTACTCGACTGAGGGATTCGCATTGGTGTGGCATCAGGGAATTGGTGACGACAGAGGGTGCTTCATGAAGACAAATAGTAACGATATAAAGAAATTGAGTCTTAGGTATTGTATGTAGTTTTCAGAGTACTAGTCACAAAAACTACATTTATTTCAATGCCAATCCTACATTTTCATCTTGAGCTACACAATTTGAGGCCAAACTTTCCAAGTTGAGATTTATGTGTTTCCCTGTAGTTTTCAGTGCACTGTCCTCAATATTGACCTTTAAATTGTCCTCAGATCCAAAATTTATACCGATTTGGGGTCAAATTTTTTGAATTGAATTGTACATTGATTCTTCCAGTTTTTTGAGTGCTGATAACGAAAATCACTTCTATTTTAACACCAGACCTATATTTTCATCCCATATTAGGTCATTTTGGACCAAAATTTTCAAGTGGAGTTTTATGCTGTTTCCTGCAGTTTTTGGTGTGCTGAACCCAAAAATGACTTCCAAAATTTTCCCAGACTCACACTTAACCGAATTTCGACCAATTTTGGACCAAAATTTTTAAATCGAGTTTGACGTTGATCTCAGCAGTTTTTGGTGTGCTGGTAACGAAAATCACTTCCACTTCGACTCCAGACTTATATTTTCACCCCAAATTAGGCCATTTTGGACTAAAATTTTCAAGTCGAGTTTTATATTGCTTCCTGCAGTTTTTGGTGTGCTGAACTCAAAAATGACCTTCAAACTTTTCCCAGACTCACATTTAGCCGAATTTTGACCAATTTTGGACCAAAATTTTTTAATCGAGTTTGACATTAATCCCAGCAGTTTTTGGTGTTCTGATAACGAATATCACTTCCATTTGTACCCCTGGTCTAAAGTTCACTCAATAATGAGCCCATAAGATGCACATTTTCACCACTCAAGCAAAGGCCAAAGTGTACAAACTATGTCAATTCGCATCGCTCAGCCACACTACGCGCCCACACTAAACGGCGCGCGGCGCGTACCCCTAGTTTATTCTTGATTCGAGTAGATCTTGACGAGACCTTTTCAACGAATGGTCGGAACCTAGGTCTAAAATGCTCACATCGTCATCGGGGACCCTGTGAGGTGACCGTCGACGTCCTCGGGGACCCAACGGTGACCTTTAAGGCTTTGGCCATGCCGTCCCGATGTGGCATTGGCCGCTCGGACAACAGAGAGATGAACCCAAAAAACAACAGTGAGCTCCGTCTTTTAAGAGACAGAGATCACTGTAGTTTTGGGTACAGAGCGACGCTGTGAAAAAATTAACAGGATTCTCTGTAGTTTTTTCTCGCAGTGCAGGAGTGCTGTAAGAAACTGAAGGGAAAGATATAAAGTGTACTTTCATTCCAGATACGTAACTCCACGTTGAAACGAACGACACAAAATGTCAGGTTCCTTTCGGCATTGTGACACATTCGATTGGATGTGGATCGAATCAGCCATAAATTAGCTCATTCATATTCAAACGAATGGGACACAATTGCTCAAAGGAACGTGACATTTTTCTAGATTCGTTTGACCGTAATGTCACGCTTCTTTGTGCAGTCGTCCTCAGCCTCCCTGAACTCTTTGAGTATCAACGTCACTTTATTCTTAAGAGGATAAGAGGATGCACTACTGAAAGTAGTGCATTTTCTAAATCGAGCTTTGATGTAGAACTTTGCTGTTTTTCAGGGTAAAGTGTCAAACTTGAAACCCAGAACCGACCACCGAACATCCCTCCAAATCCAGTCAAAGTAGATTTTTACACCCATTTCAGCAAAACCTTTGATATAGACACTTCCACCAGAATGCCGAGTGAAGAACAAGAGGAAGAAATGGTACCGGAACCAGTTCCCATAAACGTATTATTTATAAGTTCTGACAGTTTAAAATCATGAAACTCGTCTTTGACTAACTTTAAACAATTTTTAGTGCCCAAATGAACCCATAATATGAACAAATGAGCGCATTTTATGGACTGTTTACGGCTTTTGTTATTCTTCTTGTTCCTCACTCGGCTCTCTGGTGGAATTGTCTATTTTCCTACGCGAAATGGTAAACTGATTTTCTGAACATTTTCCACTTCTTTGGTTCATATGCAACAAAGCGACTTAACACATTGGGTTTTTTTTTAACATAATATGTTACTCCAACAAATATAAGGGTTTTCAAAATTTTCTTGAAATTTGAGTGGTATGATCTCTCTAATGTGACATCGTCCCGACGCCAAAACCTCACCTTTTCGACGGTAGTCGGCGGGAGGGAAGCCAACACACGGCAGCAGCAGGCAGCCACGATTGTGAGTGACAAAGTCCGGGCCGACATTTCGGACGAGAAAAAAAAGGGCGACTGGAAACGTTTCACGCGGAATGAGGCTGTATCCTGAAATAAAAAGAATCGGTTGTTGATTATAGTAGGAAGCGAGATGGACCTTGGAGGTGGGCGGGACGAAGTGTAAGCAAGAAGTCTCCCCCTCCCCCCAATCTTACCTTCTAGACGAGTGATGCGTGATGATGACTTTCAGATCCACTTAAAATTGAGAGATCGGACCGCAAATGATCGTATATCGAGCACCTTTGACTGTCGATGTTTTTTTTGCATCCATCCATTAAGGCCTCCTTTTTTCTCGTGAGGTCTAACTCGTCCGTTCCTCCGGGAATTCTTTTTTCATAAAGCCGGTCTGAAATTTAATAAAATGCTGGTGAAGTTATCATATGTTTTGAAATTTCATAACACGAGTCACGACGTAATTATAAAACAGTTAATGCAACAAAAAGTGTGAATAGTACAACAAAAACTGTACAAAACGAGTAAAACGGTGATTGTAGAAAGTACAACGAGACCTGGACTGCACTGCACTCGTTATGCAGGTTCCTTTGTACTTTGTACAACAGTTGTTGAAATTCGAAAATATAATATCCTAATAAAAAATTTCCTAGAAATTTTTGTTTTTTTGTTGTGGTTTTTTCTACCAGTATAGCGCACCTTGCAAGTGCCTATTCCCCCTCCTCTTCCTTTTGTACGAAACGTCGATGTGCAAGTCCAAGTTCCAAAAAGCAACTTCAGAACCATTAAAATCGCATTAAATAATTGGCACGATCTCGGAGCAAGCAGTGAAGAACATATTAATAAATAAATCCCACCTTTCCATCACACCTCCTTTCAGTTTGAGACGTGCGCAGGCTGAGCGCGTCAAATGGCAATGGCGAGCGAAGAGTTACTTGTAGCACTTAGTCTTCCGTTGAAACACTCAGTGCGTTACGATTTGATGCACCGCGAGGTTAGTACGGACACTTGTCCACTACACTTGTTCACTACACTCGGAAAAGACAACTTGTAGGACGGACGTAGCCACACTCGCAACTCTTGCGCGTCACTTCACTGGCCGCGGACGCGGCGCTGCGATGCGAGCGGCTCTGTTGACACGGAAGAAATGAGGAGCTGGAAACTGTCGAAAAATCCGAGACCGGCTGTGGCCCGGAGCGGGTAACCTCGGCCAACCTCCGGTCTGATAGCGGCCGGGACTTTCCGCACTCGTTCGAGCGCCCCGGCTAGGTTTAGATGCCTGTGGACTGGTTCCGAGAGTCGTCGTCGTCGCTCTGTCTCTCTCGCACCAATACGGGATGCCCCACGAGTGCGAGAGAAGCAGAGCGACGACGACGACTCTCGGAATCAGTCTATTGGCCCGGCTGGACTCCGGTGCCGGGTGGGGCCGGCACCGGTTGGGCGCCACCAGGGCAGCCAAGCGAAGCGGGGCTCAATTAGATGTGTGCGTCGATTTGTTGTTGACGACGGCGGCGGCGATGGACCGAAACTCATCCTTCGGCGCCTGCGCCCATTTCTTTGCCAGCGGTGGCGGTCGCCAATTTCGGCTATCTTCTCAAATTTAAAAACAAGTTTCATGAAAAACATTATTGACACCTCTTGGAGGGGAACTAGATATGACTGGTTCAGTGTCACCTTGAATTCCTATGTAGTCTTTTGAGCATAGCTTTGCTTGAAATTGAGCTTACGTTAAGAAATGCACGAATTAGTGCGTAAAGCACGAAAATGTGCGTTGTTGTTAAGGGGGCAGTAACGTCGTTTGAACGTATTTTGACGATTTTTGAACCTCCTGTTTAGACGTTTATAAAGAAATAAGTACGAATGCCAGAGACAAACGGCAGGTTTCAATATTGGGCAAGAAAAAATGTTATTCGTTTCCATCTAAAATTGAAGATAAGCGTTTCAATAGTTTTTCTTGCCCAATATTGAAACCCAAGGGTCATTTTATGGGCAATTTCATGCTTTTCCAGATGCATTTTACCGATTGGTGAAAAGTTAAAAACTTTGGCAGCAATCGTGCGCACCATGTAATTTTGCAGACCATTTTTGCATAGATCACAAAACATCCTAATTCCATGCTAAAACAAAATATTTTCTTGAATATGTTCTAAAAACTTTCCTCTTTAAAATGGTGCCTGCCGTTTGTCTCTGGCATTCATACTTATCTTTATATTAACGTCTAAACAGGAGGTTCGAAAATTGTCAAAATACGTGCAAATGACGCTACTGCCCCCTTAAGCAGCACCGTGTGCGATGTCACGCACAGACCCGTACATTACGCACGCAGACTCAAAAACACTTCTCATTTCAGGAACGTGACATCACGTTGAAATGAATGGACAAAATGTCACGCTCCTGTACATTCGTTTCAACGTGAATAAGCTAACTGATAGCTGATCCACGTCCAAACGAATGTGACACAGTGATAAAAGGAACGTGACATTTTGTCACATCCATTTCACGTTCCTGAGATGAAGGGTGAAACCCCACTCTAAATTTCTTACGAAGAAATTTCCCATAATACGAAGGAAATGGCGCAAGCATAATACGAAGGTGGTTTTTCTTCGTATTACCGTCAACGGGGGTAACTTGGGACACCAGGGGTAACTTGGGACAGTCTGCCCTGTACAGCTTGTTGGTGCTGCCATTCAGCGACGAGGGTTCCTAGCGTCAAACCCGCGGCAGGGTTTTGTTTCAGAGGCCTCAGGGCACGCGCGGAAAGGTGGAAGAGTGCATAACATCACAATTAGTATTTGCGAAACGGGAAACTACATGATAGGGTTTTTGACAAAATATGTCAATCATTGACAAGTTGACCTTAGTGCAAGGAGTGAAATGCAGATTTGGCCGATTAGTCTTTCTGGGTTGTTAGATCATACACAGACAATAAAGTTTGAAAAAGGGCGTTGGTTATAGTTTTCCCATCTTCGGTCCAGACTTCAATTTATCAAAAATCGAAATTTTACGGGGTAACTTGGGACAGTCTTTTCCTCATGTTTCCAGCAGTCCTAGCCTTCTAGCAGTTGACTGACCCGATCCCTAACATAACTTAAACTTCGTATTTTACGCTGATGATGGAAAGAGATGCCTTGCTCTGCAGTTTTGCCTTCTGGTAATCCATATTTTGAAATTTTCAGAAAATGCCTAGAAAATGCCAGTAGAAAAGAAAGTTCCACGTAGAGCCCTAGATATAGTCCAATATCGGTCCTACAGGGGTTCATAGGCCTGAATTCTTGGTCTACATGTTGTGACTTAAATTTATTACATCCATTAACATCAATAGATGCATGGGAATGTAGCTAATTGCCTACTGTCCCAAGTTACCCCCGGTCATGGGGTAACTTGGGACACTCTTTCGAGACCGATGGGAAACGACATAATCGAGGCAAATGAACCAGACAAGCATGAAATCATGGGGAAAGGGTCAAACTTTAACATAGTTGGGATCCATTGGTCTGGGTTGAGAATCTTGCCTCTGGCGTCCAAAAAACGTAAAAAAGTGTCCCAAGTTACCCCCGTTGACGGTACGAAGGTTTTTCTTTGTATCTTACAATGAAAAAGCTGAAAAGATTCGTATTACGAAGGAATATTGCTTCGTATTATGCTTGCGCCGAATTCACTGTAACATACGAATAACATAGGTGAAATTTCATTGGAAGACATTTGATCCAGGAAGCGGAAGAAGGGGATAACTCAATTTTGGCCATTTTCCAGGAGAAACAAAAAACTGTTACCGTCAACGGGGGTAACTTGGGACACTTTTTTACGTTTTTTGGACGCCAGAGGCAAGATTCTCAACCCAGACCAATGGATCCCAACTATGTTAAAGTTTGACCCTTTCCCCATGATTTCATGCTTGTCTGGTTCATTTGCCTCGATTATGTCGTTTCCCATCGGTCTCGAAAGAGTGTCCCAAGTTACCCCATGACCGGGGGTAACTTGGGACAGTAGGCAATTAGCTACATTCCCATGCATCTATTGATGTTAATGGATGTAATAAATTTAAGTCACAACATGTAGACCAAGAATTCAGGCCTATGAACCCCTGTAGGACCGATATTGGACTATATCTAGGGCTCTACGTGGAACTTTCTTTTCTACTGGCATTTTCTAGGCATTTTCTGAAAATTTCAAAATATGGATTACCAGAAGGCAAAACTGCAGAGCAAGGCATCTCTTTCCATCATCAGCGTAAAATACGAAGTTTAAGTTATGTTAGGGATCGGGTCAGTCAACTGCTAGAAGGCTAGGACTGCTGGAAACATGAGGAAAAGACTGTCCCAAGTTACCCCGTAAAATTTCGATTTTTGATAAATTGAAGTCTGGACCGAAGATGGGAAAACTATAACCAACGCCCTTTTTCAAACTTTATTGTCTGTGTATGATCTAACAACCCAGAAAGACTAATCGGCCAAATCTGCATTTCACTCCTTGCACTAAGGTCAACTTGTCAATGATTGACATATTTTGTCAAAAACCCTATCATGTAGTTTCCCGTTTCGCAAATACTAATTGTGATGTTATGCACTCTTCCACCTTTCCGCGCGTGCCCTGAGGCCTCTGAAACAAAACCCTGCCGCGGGTTTGACGCTAGGAACCCTCGTCGCTGAATGGCAGCACCAACAAGCTGTACAGGGCAGACTGTCCCAAGTTACCCCTGGTGTCCCAAGTTACCCCCGTTGACGGTAGCAGGGAAAACTAAAACAAAACAAATGAATGTTGCACATGTTAATAATTTCAAAAAGCATTAGTAAAATTTTGGAAAAAAAATAAAAAGTGTAAGGTCACTCCGTAGAGGATGCGACTTATCGCTTTTCGTTGAAATGGAAAACAGAGTCAGCTCACCTTATATTTCCTAAACAAACAGGAATGTGGAGACAAGTCAAGTGGAACAATAGTCTGCATAAAGTGTATGTTACTCTGGTGTATTTTTTGGACTTAGCTCTTTTTTCCAAATTGAAATTTAAAATTTAGGGGGGGTTAAGTTGAGTTGATTCTTTTTACAATAGATTCAAAAAAACACAAGTTGAGTTATATCCTTTTGCCAATTTGTCAAACGGACTCATGTAGACTAAGGTTGACTTATCTCCATTTTCCAATGAAATTTAGACTGTAAAAGGGGTTAAGTTGAGTTATACCCTTTTTCCAAGTGGATTTTCTCCTAAACTGCTTGGAATCCAGTCAAATAATTTGGTGTAATGATGTAAACCATTCTAAGGCACAATAATAAAATAAAAACTCAATTTGGGGATAAGTCAAGTTATTCCCTTCTTCCGCTTCCTGGATCATTTAGAGTGTGGCCTAAACAAATAGCAATTGCGCAATAGACAGTAATTAACGATTAGTTGGCCTTTCGATTTTTCCGGCAGTATTGATCGAAGTCACAGTGAGAAGGTGAAGCTTGACATTTCTTTTCGCCCGCAGGAGAGATGTGCGCAGGAGAAAAGGGAAATGAACTCTTGTGGGCAGCCAGAGGTGTTGCCTACCTCTTGGGCGTTACCCCGGGCCCGCAATCAGGACGCCGGGGGACTTGTACAGCCTTGCAAGGCTCCTCCAAACTGACGCCACGCCGAATCGAGCTGAAGCCGAGGAGGCTCCTCTGTCTAATAAAAAAATTCCAATGCTAACGCATTGCACGGTGTTCCGGTTGTAGAAATCAATTTGAAGTCTGTCGTCTAAACGTTAATCACGTTAATTTTACCGTTATTTACGTAACTTTGAATCCTACCGGTATTTTTACATCCCCAAACCTGATTCAGTTAACACAATGACCATCTCAGTCCATCTCGCGATCTCGCGATTTGCAGTGCTCATGTTCGTCAAACGAAAGTCATCCGCGTTCCGAAACCACCCCTCCCGAGTTTGTAAAGTTTGTCAAACCAACCGTCGTGCTGGTTACAGAATTGAGGAAAACATCACAGGAGAACCGCAGCCTTTGAAAGCAAGCCAAACAATCCAACCTCAGCAACAATGTAGGGGCAGTTTCAATGCGCGACTACTCGTGTTTTCAGCCTCGCGATTTTCGAAAGGGCGCAGACGCCGAGAAAATTGTTGCCAACCCCCGAAAATTAATTTATTGCGACTTTTCTG